TGTGTGTCGTGTTGGGCTCTTCTGCCTGCAGGTTATTATATTTCAGATCATATCTCATGGTTGGTTCGCTCGGCCCTTCGGGCATCGGGTGCCAGCCATACCTCCCAAGGTTGGGATGTGACAAACTTATCCAAATTTGTATGCATCCTTGTGATATGTCTTCGACAACTTCTCATGTTATTCTGACAGTAAAAAATGACTTCGTCGATGAAATAAATGATATGCTCATAACTCAATTATTGGGTGATTCTAGAACATATGTTGTATTTGATGAAACTACTGAAACAAATTATCAAAGTCAATATGAAGATTTTTTGCATAGCTTACACCCTGCTGGTTTACCTCCATATAAATTAACTTTGAAAAACAATTGTCCTATTATGTTATTGCGAAATTTAAATCCGTGCGAAGGTTTATGTAATGGTACACGACTTGTATGATGTAATTTTGAAAAGAATATTATAAGTGCTAAAATTGCAAGTGGGGGTTTAAAAATGTGACGACCTGACCAGTCGTCACGTGATTTACCGCCCCGTTTCCCCCATTTTATGTTTCTTCATTTTTCGTTGTCGGTATTCGGTGTGTTAGAGTTAAATCGGATTAGTTTTGATAGGAAATGAGACACTTAGTCTCTTTAAGGAAGGCTTGTTTTGGAAAAGTCAACCGGGTGTTGACTATTTAGTTAGAGGGCTCAGATGTGATTTCCGGTGATTCGGTTAGCTTCGGGGGATGATATGTGGCTTAGGAGTGTGATCGGAATTGATCTTGGAGGTCCGGAGTAGAATTAGGCTTGAATTGGCGAAGTTAGTATTTTGGCGATTTCCGGTTGATAGGTAAGATTTTGATCCGAGAGTCGGAATGGAATTCCGAGAGTTGCAGTGGCTTCGTTAGGTGATTTTGGATGTGTGCGCAAAATTTCAGATCATTCGGAGGTGTTTTGGTTGGATTTTTGATCAAATGCGTGTTTTAGAGGTTTTAAAAGAACTTAGGCTTGAATTCGATGTAATTCGATGATTTTAGTGTTAGTCGAGGTGTTTTGATGATTGGAGCAAGTTTGGATGATGTTTTAAGATATGATGGTGCATTTGGTTGAGGTCCCGGGGGCCTCGAGGTGATTTTGGATGGTTAACGGGAAGTTTGGAGTTGTAAAATGCAGCAGAAAAATTGCATAGTATTTTTTGTTCTATGCGATCGCAGAGGGTGTCATGCGATCGCATAGAAGGAATTCGAGGGGCTGTTTGGTTGTGTTATGTGATCGCGGTGGAAGGCATGCGATCGCACAGGGTAAAGACCCTGTGCTATGCGATCGCAGGGAGGCCTATGCGATCTAATAGGGCTAAATCTGGGGGGCAGAATATTTGTGCTATGCGATCGCATTGGCTCTAATGCGATTGCATAGAAGGAGCTACAGTGATCTGGGCAGAATGTTAAAACATTTCATCCGCGAACCCAACCCATTTTTCTTCCATTTTTGAGCAACCTTGAGAGCTTTTGAATTGGAATTGAAGGGGTTTTGACGAGAAGTGATTGGAGGTAAGTCCTATGAACTAAATACATGATTATATTGTGAAATCATCTTCGAAATTCATGAAAATATAGCCAAATTGTAAGAAATTAGGGATTGAAATTGAAATTCTAAATTTGGGATTTAAGGGCCCATTTGTGGTCCGATTTGAGAGATTTTTGTATGTATAGACTCGTGGAGAGATAAGGAACTCGATGTCGTAAAAATTTCTGAGTTTCGAGATGTGGGCCCGCGGCTCGGGTTTTTGCCAACTTCGTGATTCTTGATATTTTTCGATTGTTTTCGATTGGGTATTGTTCCCTTAGCATATTGTGATGTATTCGCTCTAATTTTGGTTAGATCCGATGCGCGTGGAGGCCGATTTGAGGGGCAAAGGCGTCGGCGAGCTAGAGAATTAGCCAGTTCGAGGTGAGTAATGGTTGTAAATGATGTCCTGAGGGTTTGAAACCCCGGATTTGCACATCGTAATGCTATATTGAGGCAAGATACACGCTGGATGATGAGCGTGGGGTCTTTCACTACAGCGGATTGTCACTTGGTCCATCCCGATTGATGATTTTACCGAATATTTGACTGAAATTCATTTGTTATCATCATGATTTGGGCTGATTGCCATATTTGGGCTTCGTGCCAACTATTTGAACCCTTCGGGGATTTTTATCACTGTTTCCTCACTACTTGACTTATTATTTGCACTCAGTCCTGTTGATATCTACTGTTTTACAAACTCAGTCACTTTTACTCAGATTTGAAACTTTAAGGATATTTCTACATCATGTTTTGGGCTGAGAACTACTGTTTTACTAATGCCCAAGGGGCTTGTGATGATTTTTGGACTGAGTGAGGCCGAGGGCCATATGTGAGGATATGCTGAGTGATATGAGGCCGAGTGCCTGAGATACTTTATATGCCACGAGGTGGCTCGAGTGATGTGAGGCCGAGTGCCGAGTGATGATGCCACGAGGTGGCTTGATATAGCGCTTGGGTCGTAAGGGGCCCCTCCGGAGTCTGCACACCCACAGTGAGCGCGGGTACCCATTATGCTGAGCGATTGATACTATGCCCGAGGGGTTGATATGAGTGATTGTAAGGTAGCCCGCGGGGCTGATACTGTTCTGAGTGATTGATACTGAGCCCGAAGGGCTGATACTGTACTGAGAGTGAGCCCGAGGGGCTGATACTATGTTGGGAGATTAATACTGTGCCCGAGGGGCGGACTTCTACTTGTTATTTACCTGTTAAATTACCGGTTTTACTTGTTTTAAAAGGAATATCATTTGATTTCTTCACTGATTTACTGCTTTAAGCGATTTTTACTGCTTGATATGGAATTGCTTTGTGCCTTTACGTGTTTTCATACTTTCAGCCATTATTTATAGTTATTACTCACTGAGTCGGAGTACTCACATTACTCCATGCACCGTGTGTGCAGATTCAGGTATAGCAGAGTCCGCACCTGAGTGCTATTTCCGTCCAGGCAAGGCAGTGATTTGAAGTTACGAGGTAGCTGTTGACGCCGCAGCCCCTTCTCTCTCTTATCCTCTATCATTTATGTTTTCTTCAGACTGTTGTATTGGATTCCGTATTTTGTAGACCTATAGCAGATTCTGTAGTAGCTCATGACTTGTGACACCCCGGTTTGGGCTGTGTCGGGATGGTTCCTGCTGTTGTTAACATTAAAATTCCGCAATTTATGAGTATTATATTATATATTATTACTGTTTATGATGATTAACTGTTTAAAAGAGGTGTTACGTTTTGGTCTAGCTGGCCTTATCTTCACGAGGGGCGCCATCACGACCGGCTTCGGGGATTGGGTCGTGATAAAAAAACACACATGTATTTATTCCGAGAATACCGCTGTTATCATCACAAGATGAAAAACTACCTATTCATTTCAAAAGAACACAATTCCCAATTAGATTATGTTTTGCTATGACTATGAATAAAGCTCAAAGTCAGACGTTAGATTTTGTTGGAATTTATTTACGAGAGCCTATTTTTTTACACGGTTAACTTTATGTTGCTTTATCCCGAGCAAAAACCTCAAATTCTGTGAAATTGTTGATCCGACCGCCAACATTTGATAGCAATGATGATCATACAACACACAATGTAGTATACGAAGAAATCATTCAACCAACTGCTATCTTATAAATTGACTGTTGTATTATCAGAAGCCAAGGTATGACACAACTTTGGGAGCAACACTGGCTATCAGGTAAGTAATTTTCTTATTGAATGGATGGATTTAACAATTGCTGCTATTATAGACCAGCTAAAAATAATATCTTCTCTCATTATTAAATACAACAAGAGATGCAACAGGCGTTCTCTATTCATACACAGGATATGCAGCTAATACTTGCTATTCACATCATCTTAAGGTCTACCTACCTTCTTAGGTCTTCTTGTTTTGAAGATTTTTGGATATTTGTATCACAAAGAGGAAAAGCAGCTTGCTCTTCATCGACATGCCAGCTTCAGCCATAATATTTTTGCCCCTGCTTTTTAACATTATTACATCAATTACCATCACACCATTTTGTAAATACAACAAACTCTTTAGGTATTTTCAAAATTCACTTTTGACCTTTCACTGCTACTTTAGCTCTAAAAGTGACAGGTTTTACATCTTGGACTGACTCATTATATTTACAAAGCAACACGTAGATTACTTTTGACAGCTGCAAAGTAATTCTGTATATTACATAAAATTATACACCTACGTATACTCTCCTCTCCAGAACTTAGTTTTTGGATTACCTTAGCTTTTTCTCGATGAACTTCGAACTTAAGTTGTCGTGTCTGCTCCGCTGAACGATCTTCTTTTGCTATTTTGTTTGGTTTTCCTGTTGGGTTTCTCTGAAGAACACAACGTTTGCTAATCAGGGGTTATAGCGACTGCTGCTTGAGAAGTTCTTTTTCGAATTTTCTACTTATTTGAAGGTAATTATTATATAGGATGATTTTCTTCTATGGATGGTATTTTGAGTATTACTATGATCTTGGCCAAGGTTACCAAATCAAAAAAAATATACGGTGATTCTCATGTAAGAGTCAAAAGTTTTTTGTAAATCAGCTAATCCATTGTTAATTTATAGTATTCTGATTCTTTTCTTGTTTTCTAAAATTAATAGATTCAATTACAGTAATCATCCATGTTTAGTTAATGTTTTTGATCATTTCTTGAATTCTTGATTTAATCCATCTAAAGATTATGTCTTTACATATGCGTTTTTTTATCTTTTCCTTTTTGCTAAGTTTCCCAAGATATGTTTCAGCTTTAGTTACTTAGACTTAGATTGTATCTTTTGATATGCCATTTTCCCCTTTTAGCAGAGTTTTCCAAGTTATTTTTCAGTATCAGTTTACTTAGCTTTTATTTTGGCAATTAGACGTGCCAATAATTAGTGGTGGCTTTTGAAGGTATAAAATTACTACCAATGTCTTCTCTTCTCTAGGTGTTTGAATAAATTCTTCAATGAATTACCATTTCTATTAAATTTGTTATGCATATTTCTGTCTTCTCTATCTTTTAAGTGTTGGTGATTTAGTTTTATCTCTGTTGTTTGAAGGAGTATCATGGCTTTTGTTCTCATTTTCGTGGGGCTAAATTATATCATAGCTACTGCTTGGAAGATGATATAGGTCATCTTAGAAAAATCTTGGTTTTTTTTATCTTTGGATACCAGAGTTCATTCATTCAGTTGGATGCCTTTGAAAAGAAAATTGTTAGTTTGACCAACATGGGCATAAGTTGTGGCTTCAAGTGCTGAACCTCTTCTGCTTTTCTTGGAGTAAGAGTGACAATGTGATGGTTCTACGTAATGTTCTTTTAGATTTTTCTTTTCAAGTTCTATAAGCAATTATTATGTGCTCCAGTCATTATTGCATTTTCACATTTTAAGTATCTGCGAAGAACCAAATACATTTTTTTGATAGAACTCTTTCCTATATGTGCATATCAAAATCTGTAAGCAAATCCTAATGTCTTCATTTATTTTAAGAATGGCTATGAACAATCAAGTGATGATCTTCAAATGCTTTGATTTGGGAGAGGGTGGATCAATAGAGGGTTGATATTAGTTTGTTGTTAGACTAAGTTTACTGGTGTATCAAAATGAGCTGTAGTAATTTCTCATGTATATTTGTTTTCATAATCCGATAATGGTTTGTGCAGAGNTTTAGCAGAGTTTTCCAAGTTATTTTTCAGTATCAGTTTACTTAGCTTTTATTTTGGCAATTAGACGTGCCAATAATTAGTGGTGGCTTTTGAAGGTATAAAATTACTACCAATGTCTTCTCTTCTCTAGGTGTTTGAATAAATTCTTCAATGAATTACCATTTCTATTAAATTTGTTATGCATATTTCTGTCTTCTCTATCTTTTAAGTGTTGGTGATTTAGTTTTATCTCTGTTGTTTGAAGGAGTATCATGGCTTTTGTTCTCATTTTCGTGGGGCTAAATTATATCATAGCTACTGCTTGGAAGATGATATAGGTCATCTTAGAAAAATCTTGGTTTTTTTTATCTTTGGATACCAGAGTTCATTCATTCAGTTGGATGCCTTTGAAAAGAAAATTGTTAGTTTGACCAACATGGGCATAAGTTGTGGCTTCAAGTGCTGAACCTCTTCTGCTTTTCTTGGAGTAAGAGTGACAATGTGATGGTTCTACGTAATGTTCTTTTAGATTTTTCTTTTCAAGTTCTATAAGCAATTATTATGTGCTCCAGTCATTATTGCATTTTCACATTTTAAGTATCTGCGAAGAACCAAATACATTTTTTTGATAGAACTCTTTCCTATATGTGCATATCAAAATCTGTAAGCAAATCCTAATGTCTTCATTTATTTTAAGAATGGCTATGAACAATCAAGTGATGATCTTCAAATGCTTTGATTTGGGAGAGGGTGGATCAATAGAGGGTTGATATTAGTTTGTTGTTAGACTAAGTTTACTGGTGTATCAAAATGAGCTGTAGTAATTTNTTGTAGTGATTTCTCATGTATATTTGTTTTCATAATCCGATAATGGTTTGTGCAGAGAAATTTAGCAACTTTAACAGAAGTTTCTTCATTTCTTTTAGCAGCGATCAGGTTTAGCTAAAGAGATGTCTAGGCTTGAAAAAACTATTGATTCTATATGCCCCCCAAAAAAAGGGAAGCGTCAATGCTCTGAAGAAAGAGGTGTCAAAATAAAACAAAGACGCCATGAAATATATAAAGAGAAGTCGGCGGACAGAAGATAATTAAACTTAATGCAACGACGAATGGTATACCTTCATTCTAAAACACATAATCCTATTGGTAATTCCACGGAGGTACCAACTTCCTGCCAATTTAGCAAAGAGCGGAATGAGAATACAGTTGGTGTAAGAGGAGCCTCATCTTCTCTCTTGGAAACAAGTTAGTACAGTATAAATAAGTACAACAATGAAAGTAACACATGATATAAAGGACAACAACAACTACTATAGAGACAAAGTAAACACATAAAGAAATACAACTCAACACAAAGATAACAACCGAGGATCTCCCAGGATACCGTCCTGTAGTCCCAAATATAAATATCCAGTGGATCTCCCGGAATATCATCCCGTAGTCCAACTCATAGTGCGCGGGGATCTACCGGAATCCCGATCCGTAGTCCCAAATGTAAATACCAGTATCGGGAAAATCTACCGGGTGTAGTCCTGTAGTTCCATGTAACTGTGCAGGGGGATCTAACGGAATCCCACATCCATAGTCCCAAATAAACAGACAAGGGGGATCTACCGGAATCCCACATCCGTACTCCCAAATGTAAATACACAACAACAACATGAAAAATATTCAGCAAATGCAAATTTCATATTAAGGCAAACAGGTAATTCTAGCCTAGCATGCTGCACATAATTCAGGTAAGGCAGTTTGAACAAATAAAGCAATTAAGTCACTTAGACATGCTTCCCCAAGCTAACAACAGTCTTAAATTGCAAGTAGTATAAACAGGAAAAGAAACACATTAGTAATTACTTAATGAAAATCGGATTTTCAACAATTAGAACAAGTACGCACTCGTCACCTCACGTACAAGGCATTTCAATTATCAATATTACCAAATCCTAAGGGGAATGTCCCCCATACAAGGTTAGGCAAGCCACTTACCTCGAACCGGCCCAAAGTCAAACCGAAACCACGTATTTTCGACAATTACTAGACTCCAAATGGCCCAAATCTATTCAATTCAATTGCATAATGTAAATAACACTTCAAATAACTGATTCTACAATAAATTCTAAGTTAATACGCGAAATTAGGTAAAATAACCAAAACGCCCCTCGGGCCCACGTCTCGGAATCGGGTAAAATTTATATTTTCAGAATCCTCACACTCTCACGAGCTCAGTCATACCAAAATACCAAAATCGCACCTCAAATGGCCCCTCAAATCATCACTCAAAGGTCTCTAATTAATTAAGCCCTAATCCTCAATTTACCACTGATGTTTCTTAAATTTTTATGCTTAGAATGATAAAAATCACCATAATAATGAGTTTAGGTTCCAAGAATCTTACCTCCTCGAAGCTCCCTTGAATTCCCTCTCAAAAACCTCCCCAAAAGCTCAATTCCCGGATGAAATGGTGAAATAATAACTCAAATTTGCGAAGGCAACTATTTATATGTTCTGCCCAGCGAATCCGCTTCTCGGTCATGGGACCACGGAACAAAATTCGCAGCTGCAACAATTCACTAAAATCCAGCTTTCGCACCTGCGGTTTCCCATACGCAGATGTGGTACCGCTTCTACGGTGAAGCTCCCGCTTCTGCGGCTTCTGCTGGCTCTCCCCTTTCTGTTTCTGTGGCTACGCACCTACGGGACCCAACCGCAGGTGCGGTTATGACAGAAGATCAGTAGCTGAAGCTGCTCAACAAACTCCCAATTCTTCCTACAACCTTCCGAAACCATCCCGAGGCCCCCGAGACCTCAACCAAAAGCACAATCAAGACATATACCACTATCCAAACTTATGCAAATTCTTAAAACACCTAAAACAACATTGAAACATCGAATCAACCACAGACTCAAGCCTAAGAACTCTGAGAACTCTCAATTTACGCTTTCGATCAAAAAGTATATCAAACCTCGTCCGAATGACCTGAAATTTTGCACATACATCACATTCAACACTACGGAGCTACTCCAACTTTCGGAAATCCATTCCGACCCTCAGATTAAAATCTCACTATCGAACCGGAAACTTCAGATTTCAATTTTCAGCATTTCAAGCCTTAATTAGCTAAGGACCTCCAAAACACAATCCGAACACGATCCTAAACCCGAATCACCCCACGGAGCTAACGAAACCATCGGAATTCCATTCCGAGGCCGTCTTCACACTGTTTTGGCTACGGTCAAATTTCCAAAACTTAAGCTCTCATTTAGGGACTAATTGTCCCAAAACTCTCCGAAACTCCAAATAATTCCTCCCGACAACTCACAATAACAGAAACAAATACAGGAAAACCAGTTAATAGGGGATCAGGGTGTTAATTCTTAAGACGACCGACTGGGTCATCACATCAATTTTTGCACTTATCACATGCCTCTCAAAGTTACAACATATAAGTCGTGTTCCATTACATAAACCTTCGCAGGGGTTTAAATTCCATAGTAAAATAACGGGACAATTTATTTTCACGATTAATTTATACGGAGGTAAGCCAGTCGGGTGTAAAGTATGCAAGAATCTTCATATTGACTTTGATCAGTCATTTCAATAGTTTCATCAAATGCTACATATGTTCTAGATTCACCAAAAAATTGGGTTATGAGCATATCATTTATTTCGTCAAAAAAATCATTTTTTGTTGTTAAAATAGCACGAGAATTAGTCAAAGATATATCACTAGTAGATGTGTACAAATCCGGATAGGTAATTCTAAATAACAGATTCAGTGATTCTTTTTCCCTTATAAAGAAACAATGAAACAATCAGGAATTTCAATCTTACCTTGAGAATTTAGTTTTTCTTTTTTGCTCCTTATTCGCATCAAATAGTCGCAGAAAGCAGGATCTGTTCTTGCTCGCATGTTTATTGATAACCGCAATTTTTCGAGTTGGTTCCAAATTTTAGAACACAATAAACTGTCACATATGAAATCTTCTTTTTTTTCCACTCCGAACAATTGGAAAAGTTGGTCTAAAATCACCACCAAAGATGACAACTTTTCCACCAAAGAGTGTGTTTGTATCCATTAGATATTTCAGTAGTAAATCAAAAGCCTCTATCAGCTGTTTTTTGGCCATAAATACTCCGTCCACACAATTAGTTTAGCATCTCATATCAATGATGCAAGTGAACTTTGCTTACTGATATTACATGAGAAATGTTATCAATATCAATAGAAAATTTAAAACGAGAGTGAGCAGTTCGTCCTCTGGGAAGAATTGAAGTTGCGACACCAGATGTTGTTGTTGCTATACGAATCCTTTTGATCGTACAGTAGCCAATAATGCGCGGTACAAAAATATTTTACCAGTTCCTCCGGGACCATCAATAAAAAAAGCTCCACATTGATTCTTAAATATTCTAGCAAGGATTATATCATATGCTTTTCGCTGATCATCATTCAATTTTGTTTCTAGTAATAAATCTTCTTCTGTAACAATTATATTTCTTTCAAAATGAGAATCTTGAGCCTCCCTAGTAGCATAACAAACTAAAATTCTTTCTGGTGTGAGTGTAAATTCATTTATGTCACGACCCATTGAATGCAAAATGTCATTAATATAGTTTAAGGCCATATGACGAATCTGTTTCGAGTTTAAGTTTGGCAAAATCTTGAAGTCTTCGGACATAGAATCTTCAAATTGATTCCAAAGTTCTTTCGGGTTAGCACGATTACAATATACAAGATGTGTAGCAAATAAACGTCTTAAACTATAAGGCATCTGATATCTTACAGCTTCTAACATACTATCAACTAAGTTATTATCACATTGTAATAAGCCTCATTTTTCTACTGCTTCTCTAAATGTACTGCAACATAATCCATTTATGGGTAGCAAATGTTGATATGATTTTGGTCCTCTAGTGTTCATTAATAATAATCTAAGATAATACTTTTATCCTTCTATTGGATGCCATGTGACTTGTTACGCAGCACCTTCCTGAGATTCTTTGGAAGAGCGACGTAAGGCTAAGCAACTGATGTCAGTGCAGTTACTGTCCGCCAACTGAGGTCCCCTCCGTACGCTAGATGAGATATTCAGTGTCGTACGAAAAAACTAATGTCAAGATCAATTGAGAGAATAGAAATGAGAATTGAGAATGAAAGAAAGTTTGATTGCATTAATGAAAGCTATTACAGAAAGGTAACGTGGTGTCGAGGGGGAGAGACACCAATACAGAGAATGTTTGCTTTCTAGAAAGTTTTAATTGCTTGATCCCCCCTAATAATGCTTAAAAAAAATAAATCAAAGCTACAAGACTAGACTTGATTAATCTAGAGAAACATAATAGAATTACATGAAATAAAACTACTCTATATTTACAATGAAAAGGAGTTAGTTTTCTACAAGGCAGAAACAGGTCCATTATTAGCAGCATTGTCTTTGGCATCACGATCTGCGTGCACAATGTTGTCTACGCACGCGGCACACTTGGCATGTACCTGCGGCTGGGCACTGGCAAGGGATATCGGTGGGGCGATAGAGGCACATGCGCGCTTGTAACTTGGCGCGGCCAAGACCACAGGGCCGTCCGTGGATCTAGGCATTGGGAGGGTTGCTAGGACGCCATAGGGCACGCCCAAGGGGTCATGGGGCATGGCTGGAAAGCCGCCCATGACAGACTATACGTCCAACAACATCACCTTTCTTTCGACGTGTCCACATTCTATATTGTTTGGACCATACAAAGTATTTTGGAAATTTCTAGTAGAGTAAATTTAACTTCTTTGCATTTCTGTATTCATCACAAAGAATTCTGTCAACATGGTTTTTCTGATAATGGGGTTATTCACAATTGAATTTATGGTCTGTGTGCTTTTAAAAGAGATAAATTGTTGTCCATCAAGATTTAGCTGAAGATGGTAAATGGATGGAGTCATTTCGCTAATGGGAAAACCAAATAAACGACAAGTTGGCTCCGGTGGAGAAACCCATCTAGCAGATTGATATTCTTTGATCTCATCTATTTCAATATTAGGATCATCATGCATGGATGAAAAAGGCAATTTTACCATGTCCTTTACAAATATATTTGTAAAGGTATTTAACAAATTTAATATCAGAACAAACTTCGACATTAATATGGAAGTTAAATTTTCTCAATATATATGAATTGTAAGGAACGACCCATGAATTGTCAAGAAATTGGCATCAAATATTTGCAAATTTACCGTTATTTCGTCTTCTATAAATTGGGTATCCATTTTTCCCTTATATGTATGATCAACAAATTCTTTTGGATATTTGAACTTACAATATTCTCTATTCTTCATACAAGGACATTTAGGATTTAAGCTACCACAAGGTCCATGCATCATATGTTTAGTAACAAGTGAATACAGGTAGTCATTCTTATCAGATTCGGGCAGTTCAACACAAACAAATTTATCATAAGCTTCCGAAGTTAACAATTTATATTCGTTATTTAGTATGATAAGAAAATGAGCATGTGGAAGACCGCGCTTTTGAAATTAAATAGTGTACACAAAAGCAGCAACTTTTCCAAATATATTTCTCTTCAGTATATTTGTTTTCATCTCCTCTACCTTAGCTCTAAACACTTGACTAATTAAATCGGGTCTATTTTGTACCTCATCTGTTACTAATAAATGTTCTTCTATTTCTGTCCATGATGGATTACATGTCATTGTTACAAATATATTAGGTTTCAAAAAAAATTGCACTAATGCAATAGCATCCATATATCGTTGGCTCATATCTCTAGGACCTCCTATAAAACTTATAGGTAAAAACATTGTCTACCTATGTTGCATGCCTCTCAATCACCATGTCTTAGAACATCAAGAATCCCCGCTAACGCATCAATTCGAAATAAATCTTGATTAAATGAATAGAAATCTAACCTTTGAGTCTCAAGCTTGGTGAATTCGTCAACTAAGTATTGTTGGAATACTCTTCCAGCATTTAAAACTCCATTTTCTTCTCCATCACTCATTTGGAGCTTGTAACAATAATATTCACGGCATGACACAATATTTCTTTTTCGTTTCTTTTTTTTCTAGAAGTTCTGCTTCCATGTCAAGTAGCATGTCAACTGAACACACGTTTAGTACACTTGGTAGCTATTCATATCACAATAAGTTCTGCGGCTAATAATATTATTCGTTCGAATAATTTTTTTAATACCACAGTGTCATCCGTTTTGTCCATAAGGAAATAGCAATGGATACTGCAATGGATCGTAACAGCCATAGTAATAATTTAGCAATTGACTTTTATTACTATGTGTATAAATTCGAATATGTGGTAGAGAAAAATTAGAACTACTTCCATCTTCTATCCATATTGCTGCTACTTCAGATGATGTTGGTAAGTTATATGTTCTTTGATCTAAACTAGAGTCAGACTTAAGTGCAATGTAGAAGTTTGATAATTCTGAGATATCTGTTAAAGATTTCAAAAAGATAGAGTATGGATTAACTTTAAATATGCCCATCAAAGTCCTGATAACCGATTCGTTAAGCTTGTCAGAGAATGTCATCCGATTTGCTAGTTCATTATCAGTATCATATGAATACAACTGTAGATTTTTGGCTGGTTGACTCGAAGGAAGGAGGTCATTTATGAAATGATACATTTTCCCTTGAACTCTAAACGTATAAATACCACAAATTCTTCTTGCTAAATCTCTGACATAATTCACTCCAAGAGAAGTAAATGCAAATATATTGTTATGCAATCTAACATAAGTGCAAAAATGTTTGGACTCCTCAGAGTTTCTTAAATAAATATTTAGGAGTTGAGAAGGTAGTCCATAGTGAATCAATTTCACTTATCCATTATCACAGCAAAATCCCAGTGATTCATATTGAAATTTTTTGGCTCTACAAAACTTATAATTCGGTACAGTTTTCAGTCTATAAGGGCTACTGGGAAAGTTAATAGTGTTCCACTGACCCAATTTTTTAGATCTACGACTTGTGTTTTTTGGGGTTAACCAAAGGGAAAAAATGACAACCTCGAAAAATAAATGACTGAAATGACTTTAAAGCTATAAGAAACCAAACCTCTATTTGCAGTGTTATGCATAGTAATATCATTCTGTTCAGCGCATGTTCCCGATGTGGACCCTAAGATATAAGGAATTAAGCATATAAGTCTGGCTGTTTGAACATTCTACAAATTTGAACACCATACTTCCACACTTACACAACAACAACAACAACAACAACAACGACCCAGTATAATCCCACAAGTGGGGTCTGGGGAGGGTAATATGTACGCAGACCTTACCCCTACCCCGAAGGGTAGAGAGGCTGTTTCCAGGAGACATACTTCCACACTTACCAACTTCAAAAATACAGGAGCTATCACGTACATCTCTGACATTATTAAAAATAGGGGAATCTTGAACTGTAGAGATATTTTCTAAGACAAAAAAGGTGTTATGAATGTATTAAATATGTAAATGTTTAATGTCTCATAGTTCAGTTCAGGATAACAAAATCTTAGTTTACAAACCTGTTCTAAATATAGAAGATGAGCATCCTCTTAGAGCAACTGTTTGTTCAGCAAACTCTCCATTAAACTGATAAGAAGTTGATACTTCAGTGGAACTACTGATTGGCTTCTGTGTTGGCATTCCTGATTCACACAACTAGGTGAAATGATCTAAATCAGTTGTATAAAATATGAAATACCTACTAACTTTACAATAGTGTAGAATTCGAAAATATGAACAACAAATGTTGATTAATAGACTAGATCAGAAAACATGATCCTTCCTTATTGAAACTCTATTCTTCTGGTTCCTTAGGCAATGTCTTAATTCAGTATTGAATTTTTCTTCCTTTATTATATCTTCAGATGTTATCTGGGGCTTAGTGGTACTGATCTAGATTTGTAGCTCGCAGATTTTTCAGTTTTGATGATATGGTTAGCTCTTTACAAGCTGGACTTTTGCTGAATACTTTGTACTTATGTGTGTATCTTCACTTCAATTTTGATATTTACAGATTATTAACTGAATTTCCATTAACTAGCTTCCTAAATAGGTAAAATTGATCTCTTTTAGCTTAATTAAAATTTTTTATAATATTCTGTGCATATCATTCCTTTGTCTTCTTGAAATAGGTGCAATTGATCTCTTTCGCAGCAAATACTATACAAGAAAAATTTCTGAATATGAAGCATCAGTACCAACATATAGTACGTGTGTGCAAATTGGCCTTTCCTATGCATTAGTTGTAAATGAAGATTTTGAATGTCGAAAAATCGTGAACCCCAGTTGCTTACGGCTTCTCCTATGTCATCTCTTAATGGCACGTCAAATTAAGAGAGCATCCACAAAACACAAAAGAAGGAACGAGAACTGAAGCAATATGGAACGCTCAGCTGCAATTCTGTTTCAGATGTCTTCGCTCAAGGATATGCTTCATCAGGTGTTTCCATACAGTTTTATCTCATTCACTGTGTTTTTTTGGTGTGTGTGTACTTAAACATGTATATGTGTGTATGTCTCTATGTGTTTCTATGTCTTAGGAACTAAGTAGCATATTCAATGAATTCATTCAGGTTAACGAAAAAATTAAGGCAACATTCAGGCAACAAGTACGGAAGTTTAAAGTGCTTTGACTACTCGAGAATTGGAGCTGATGAGAACTTCATACAGACTGCAAGTTGAAATCGATGGCTTCATGAGAATTTATGGTATTTATGGTAGATTATAGAGGCTTTTGCGTAGTATTATAATCTGTTTCTTCTTTTTTTGGTAATGCATTTTTTCCCAGCTGTCAAATTACTTGCTTTCACATTCTTAAAATAATATATATTACGATCCTCTAATTTACTACTTTAAATATGAGCTTAAGACTAAATTTAGAACTTCCAATAATATCAGTTGTTTCGGATAAACAAACACATACAGAAAACTTTTTCTACGCTATTTAAATAGTGATGAACCGGTGATTGACTTTTATTCTAATTGCTTTTATAATTTCCTTTCAATTCTTGTCTTTGTTTTTAGCTGATCGAGAGACCTCTCTCAAACATTTGGATGAAAAGATTTGTTGTCTAACAAGGAGGCGTGACGAGATACTTATAAGTATCAATAACATAAGGTGCTATTCTTAAACTATGTGACACTTTTATGTGTGGAAATGCAAACAGAGAGTTTTGTATCTTTAATATAGGGTAGCCTCTTTCTGTTAGCAAATTCTATATCTCAAAACAACTGTTAGTAAACTTTAGCATTGGCCTTTGCAGACATGAATTCATTGTGTCATGCCTGCCTTTTCAAAATGAAGTTTTTGTAGAAGATAATGATGACGTATGCACTATGCTCGCAGACAAAGAGCTATTACGGAATGAAGTTCATAGTTTAAACAAAAAAAAAGCTTTGGAAAGTTCAACAACAGCTTTTGTGGAAGAGGTTCTTGAAGATCTTCAGCACGCGACATCTGCGAACTTTCTTCCTGTTAATTATGTTTCTATCTTCTATATATCTTGGTATCATTTCTGCTTTATATTTTTTTATATTCTTCATTAGTAATATAATAATGTCAATACCTCTTATAGCCTCTTCTTTCTTTTTTGAGTGGGCTGCTGTTTTACGTGTAACAGCTTGAAATACCATTGCTCTGTTTATCAACAACTCTGCAAGAACTTTAAAGTGTGTATGCTTGATAAAAGATACAACAATTGGTGTTTCATTTTCTGAATTGGAATTTGATGTGAATCATAACTTTAGACGTTGAAATAAGAAGTGACAATATTGAAAATGAGAAATTGCTCAACGATATTCACGAATTAAACAGAACTTTGCCTTCACTTATGTTGACCAAAACGCAAGAAATGGTAACAGTCTTCTGCTTTACTTTCCACCTTTCCGTTTAATGCCATCTTTCACCCCTTTTTTATTTTTCACATCCTTCATTGTTGTTCATGTCACTTGTATGTTGAAGTTATCCGTACATGAATATATCAACAAATCGGTTAATTCTGAAAATCATAAATTTCACTTCGACACTTTCATAGTAGTTAAATAATGAAGAAATAATGTCTTGGCTCAGTGCTCTACTAGAATTTCTAACTGTGACTTTGAGAGTCTTGAAATTCAAGCAGGTCAACATGTAAATGATTTAGATGCTCTAGACCAGAACTGATGTAACAATACAAATGCAAAGAACAATCATATCTTGTTGGGCCGATGCATAGCATGGGCTTTTCACATCTAGTACAGAAATAAGCCAGACCAAAATTATCTTACTTATAACTCTCATATCTGGAAAAAAAAACCCAGAAAGAATTGAGTTTCACAAATTTATAAGATAATCTCAAATCTCCAAATAATAGAACAAATAAAAATAAATACAATGAATCTGATGATATGAGACTGGATTTATTGCATTTGTCCAAATACTAAACCGAAGAGAAATAAAGTAATGGTGGAGATGAGTAGGAAAGGTAGTTTTTCACTAAATGCATTCTAAGCGAAGTATAAAACTACTGTCCGAAATAAGTTTGCACTACAGCTCAAACATGTTACAGCCACACTACGAAATTTGCTACATATCCAATATATCAACAACTAAACTCCCAAGTCCAAAAATATGATTCCTGCCAAATTGGAAAATAATTTCTACAGTCTAAAGGTATGAAATAATATCTAACTACCAAGTCAAACAATAAGACATGTAATCTTCATCAAATACTTCAATACTTTCTCGAGTTTGTGGGTCAATTTCTGTTCCGGATACTCCTTCCCTAACCCATTCAATATCTTTTCACTTTTAAATATAGTATCATCTAGTCGTTGCTCATGCCACACTTTCATACGGCCTTCCATATTCCCAGTTGCTTGTGTATTTTTATCTAAATCGAAAAAAACTTTTGGCTTAAGTTTAATAACAATTTGACACTCCTCTGCCATTGGATGATGGATATAAAACACATGTTGAACTTGAGAAGCAAAGATGAAAGGTTGATTTTTGTGTAGAGTAGATAATTAAATTCACAAGAGTAAATCCATAATCATCCGACAACTAAAATGAGATCATATTAATCCAATCCTTTTCAAATAGCAGCATATTTTTCTATACAAGAAGTTCAAATAGTAGAGATGCAAACAACCTTAAAGAGCCTAAATAACTTGGAAAGGAGAAACCTAGTAAGTATTTCAGAACAGAAAAATACTTTCTTTTAACTATCACATTACAAAAAATAGATTTACATAGTATTAAATTAAATTAAAGATAGATATGAACCTGTGAAAGCCTCACCAAGAGTCTGAACCCTATATCAATGTTCTTCCAATAACTTGCCTCCCTTTCCATGTCTTCTTCAATCTCCAAGTATATGTGATTAAATTACCAAAGCGTTTGTCTGAAGAATTCTAATTAATAAAAGAAACTGTAATTTCAGAATTAGGAGGAGGGAAGCCGAAAATTCTTACCGCCAAAATTTTTTCCTTCTAAATCTCCGATACTCTCCATACATAGCTTTTTTCGAGACTGCAATTTGTATATATTGCTGAGATACATATCAAATTTGACTAAAATTGGACTAGATTTGATAAAACAAAAATGACCCAATTTGACAGTTCGCACCATGTTAGGGTTTTGAGGTCTTCTAGGAAAGGAGCCGAGAGTATCTCGGCTAACTTTTGGTTAGCAATTAACGTAAGTTACAAATGTGGTCTAGGTTTATATATTTTTTTAAATTTCTACTTTATTTTTTAATTCAATATTTAACAAGTACTAGTAATATTATTGATTCAACATAAAAAATTATTTTTTAATTTATAAAATAGTATAATAATGTGAACAATAGAGAGTACATTAAAAAATTAAGAAAATTAGAAAGATAAAAAAAACTCATAGAAAATAAAATAACTAACATATTTTAACAAGTATCTATGATGCAATAGTGTTAAAATTATTAAGAGATAGAAATTGGCTATAATATCATAACTTTTAAATAATTAAAAATAATAATTTTGACAGACATAAAACTAAGAAATGGAGATCAACTGCAAATGATCAGATATAAATTTCGGATCATATGTATATTTTTAGAAGAAATATTCAAATAATATTTACTCCTATGATGTTCTCACTTAGTAAATATGCAATACTCTAACTTTATTATTTGAGTTAATCTCAATCTTCATAATTCTACATATGTATAGAACTTTTATCATTTATTTGTTAAAGTATCTCGAGGATCAACAATAGTAATTAGGAATTTAATACATCATTTGCATAGGAATTCTTGGGTGTATCCCAAGCACTAAACAATTGGGTACAATCGGGCACTTGGGGCGTAAACCTCACAAAACTAAACACCATACATGATCATTATG